ACGTTCTCCGAAAAAAAAAAACATTACTGGGCAACCAATAACCCCGAAGTGACCTTTCACACGTGCATGGGCAGCAGCACAGCGAACCTGCCTTTACACAGTACACCTTCTCGTAGCACGTGATTTTTTTTTCTTTTCCACGCTCTTTTTCTGTAGGTATGTAAAAGCCCGCAGTAGAGACGTAGGTGAATGTCCTTCCAGCTACTGTTGTTGAGACAAAACCTGCTGGTTGAGCCAAAACCCTGGCCATGTAAATCATTTGAAAATTATTTCCAAGCAGGATTTTTGTATCCCACCCACAGAGCAACAATATCTGAAAGCACTTATGGGTCGTTGGCTGAAAGCTAAATGTGCAAAAACTAGGCGGCTTTTGTCTCTACAAACGAAATGCAGCTGGGGAGCACGGCAGATTCCATGAAGCCGTAAGAAAAAAAGAGAGAAAATTTTATGTCTATGCAGTGGGTACTTGTCTACAAGAACTATATCTCCTTGATTGAAGACAATAGGTTACACGCTGGCCTCACAGAAGGCCTAGATCGAGCCATTCCCGAGTGGACAGCGGTCGAATGTATTCACGGCTTGCAAATAAACGACATTTGGCTGAATATAAGCACAGGCGATTATTCTGTGTCTGACATTCCATCTAAACAAACAAAGAGCTATGCCTGACCGTGGCTCCTGGAATGAATAGGGCTTCGCCAGCGTTTTCTCTCTATGGTTGCTTCGCATGCTGAAGGGGACGTCACCGCCTAAAAGACACTTTCTGCGTGACTTCCCCCCCTCCCCCTTACCCCTCCCCTTCTTCCCTCTTTTTCAACACGAGAATCTTTTTCCTGTTCACTTCCCAGGAACCAACGCCAAGGGTCATCCCGCTCACAACTGGTGTCAATAGGCTCAAGGAAAAGACGCACAACAATGCACTTTGCTTCCTTTTAAAGCGCAGAGAGCCTCCCCCTCTCCCCAGTTTGCAAAGCAGGCACACCAGTTTTTCATAGGTACACTTGCGAAGAAGGTTGAGAACCTAACGAGCAAGACGGAAGAGACACAGACCGAAGCAATCCAGTCAGCTCGCGTATCGGAATGATTTCAGCGCTCAAAAAGTATGCGCTGCACTCGGGCGCATTAACCATATGGGCCCACCACTGCTTCAATTTTGTGGAGTAGATGAGTGCTATGCTATAAAGTACACGAGCAGTGCTGCTAGCTCGAACTTAATGTGTGAACGGTATTTGTTTCAACACTTTCGTCACTGTGCATGTTGCAGAAAGAGTGGTGCACTAATGCCAGACGTCGGAGGTGCGAATGGGTGATGGAGTTAGCGTTGTTCGTGAGCTAGCTGCCAATACTGTAGCAATTGAATGTGTATCAAGCTTCACAATGAGACGTCTCCGGCCAGAGTCCTGTACACCGTTGTATGTATACATACGCTCATCCCAATTCGTATCAAATTCCAAGAATGTTCAAATACCCCAAAGCAAAGGACCATCGTTTCCAACTATACCGTCACTTGAAGCAAGTCGGTGCATATATTGCAGTCTTATTTATTAGTTGTTCAGGATCTCTAATACTTCAATCGAGGCATAAGTGACATTAAAAATACATAGCCCATCGTCCACATCACTCTACTCAACGCTCCATATTCCCATGCCTACTCCATAATTGTGCATATTCGAAGCCTTCAACGCAGCCTGCGAATGAAGAATGTACCGGGCTTTACAAGATAGGACTTCACTCAATTTAGTCGTGTGCGCTGTTATATATTTATGCATTATTTAATCGCATTTCGCAATTATGACAATGATACACTGAATGTGAAAACTCTTTTACAGTTAGAATTTTATTGACAATGAATGGTGTTACGTTTGTTTTCGTAAAAAGTTCGCTGTACGTGTTTTATAATTTTCGTGGCGTATCGTGCTCTCGGAACGACGGGCACCATAAACAGTCGAGTAAATAGTTACTTGCTGCCGTCATTCATCTGGAGTAAATAAATAAACTAATGCAGTACATCATTTTAAAAAAACTTCGTATGTAGACAAGTTCGACAAAGTCGCATGCATGTCGAAAGACGCAGCTGCGTGCATATTGCCACGCCTGTCTTCCCAAGTTTTGTTATCAGTTCCATTACACGCGTGGAAGTACTGCCCTGTGCAACCACACCGACTGACTAAAAACCATCTAGATAATCGCAGAAGCTCCCGATGCGATTACGCGCACAACGCGAGCATTACAGATTATTCGGGAACTGACGTGGTCGCTAGCGATGACGCTTGAATATTCGACGGCACATGTATAAATTCTGACCCGCATCACCGCTTGTCAGTTGTTCGACGGCCGACAAGTATTGCTGTAGTCTGACCTTCAGTTTCCCGTCCAAAATTCAGGCCAAATGAAGAGTTTCATCTTTGACACGTCGACAGTTGCCTTCGTCGACCTCACGACCACGTGACAATACTAAACGAGCAATCATGGCGTCTCCGAAAAACAAAACTTGCACTGGTGCCACCTTCCAGGGATGTCTCGCAATCAGAAGCGCATTGGAAGATGCCAGAATGCGTGTGAAAATTCACCAAGCGCGTCCCGCAATAGCCAAGTCGTAGTTCGAACACGTAGCATCCCGTAAGTCACTACATTGCTATTGTTAGGCGCGTATATATGCCCAGAAACACAGAGCGGTGGTGCATCCTAGCAATTTTCAATAAATTCTAGTAAGACGGTAAGTTGGGCCAGTTGGTTAGGATCCATCGTGAACTTTCTTACAGCGCAACACCAGAAAAAATACAGGACAGGGAAGGAGTAGAACAGAAAGAAAAGACGGCGCGCGAAAAGACAGCGCCGTCTTTTCTTTCTGTTCTACTTCTTCCCTGTCCTGTATTTTTTCTGGTGTTGCGCTGTAAGAAAGTTCACGATGTTTCAATAAATTCACTGGAGGGTCGACGACCGCGAACGGTGGATTTAGGCATCAGCGGATAGAGTCGAGATCGGCGTCACACAAGCTTTCTAAACACATGAGCGAACAGTATTAGGCTGATAGTGCCACAGGTGACCGGTAAAATGGGCAATCGCAGGGAACTGTGGGATACGACGGCTTCCGGTTCGACGCTCCACACGGGTCAGCCAGCGGCACGCGCTCATTTTTGTACTTATCCGTTGAAAATAGCACCTCTCCATCCAATGTCAATGCTTCAGAAGTTGTTGTTTTTTGTTTCTGCGTACCGTGACTGTGACGATGACAAGCTACGATAGCCATGAACGGTCAGGAAACTTTTGTTTTATCGCTCTAAAATTATCTGCGTTGCTTTTATGCTGCTCGGGGGTACTGTCACTTTGGCTAGCAGATCAGTAGATACAAACAAGTTTTCATTGTATGATACGTTACTGCAGATAAAAAGTCACAATTTTAAAGATCTCGGGGGATGTGGATGACTGTAGCAGTGTACTAAGAGTTCATTTCGGGATCGCTTCTTCAGCTGACATAGTCGATCGGCATGAAGCGCAGCACTTATTGAGCGCGTTAAGATATTTTTTTCTAGGCTTCAGCAGCTATAAGATGCATTTTTAGTCAAAGCCAGATGCTCATTTGAACGCTGATCTTCGTCAAGCTGCGCGGCACGGCGGCACATAAAAAATACAGTTATACATAGACGACGCCGAATAAAAGAAACCCTGCACTTGTTTAACACACTTTTTCCTTTGGCTGCCATCCTGGCGCACAGTTTGACCGCGATAAATGGAAATGAACTCATCCAGCGCTTCGTGTAAACTAATTCTTGAGGGAAGCTTTCGTGTTTATTTGTCATATATATGGGTGCAGTGACCGGCGCTAATCTCGTATGACAGGTAGATTTCGCCTGTTTGCTCCCATGGCATCTTTGCTAGGCGCACCTGCGCGACAATTTATTTCTGGATATCATATTTGCAGCAAAATCATGCGTATGCTTTTTTTTAGTGTGGAATACACACGTACCTGTGATAAAATGGTTTTCCCACACTCTGGCTTCAAAGTTCCGTACTCAAAGACTACATGTCACTGCGGCTCTCTGCACAGTCGCAGCCCAGCTCGTTTCTCTGTCTTTATTACATGAGAATTGATACCTGCGTTGGCCTTGCACGCTCGAGTTGGAGCAGCCAACCGCTGAACAACCGACCGTGGTTTATCAGCACGAAGATAAACGGGCGACCGCGCGCGCGAATCTCGAATAATCTGAGGCTTGCAGCGAAGCGGTCCACCGTCGTCTACTCTTCTCGAACCGGAAGCCGGTAGCAGACGGTGCATCCCACAATCCCTCACTGTTTTACTGGTCACCTATTGCACCTCTACGCAGCAGAGTGCATTCGGACATGAGCGATCACTGCGCTTGCGCATAGTGTGGGAAATCTTGTTACTTTCTGCCCTGTAATGATGTTACGGGGAGGATACTATATAGATACTTCAAGAGGGCGCCACCCGATGGATTTTGATTCACGTATAGTAAGCGAGGTTTTATTCGACTGCTGCCAAATTACGTGCTACGCGACGCCAACAGGCAAAAAGAGTGTTCCACGCTCGCCACGCTAATGAGAACTGGTGGTACTGGCCGACACACGTTTAAATTAAGTATACGGGAGGGATGACCGCCTCCATAGCTGAGTGGTAGAGCATCAAACGCGTCATTCAACGGTCGCAGGTTCGGCTTCTGCCAGTGACAAGTTGTTTTTTCTCTCACTATTACATTACAAATACTTCTAATAACATCCCCTGTACTTTCTTTGGTATCATTGTCATTTTTCCGTCCTGCACGCACATGCCATATGATATTGAATGTCTTGCTTGCCATAGCGATGCTTTCATGGTGGGGTAACACAAAAGACAAAGGAAAAACAGGGCACAGTTGAACAAGACGGGCGTATCGTACTGTTGAACTGTGTCCTGCGTTAAGCACATCGCTAAGCCATCATGAGCCAACAAACCCCATTCATCACTGTAGGTATACTAATGTTGGCTTGCAGGTCTCGACGGACCTTACTTTAGCTTACGTTGCCCGAGTTACCAGTCATGGCAAGCATTCATGGGAGATGCAACAGTAATCGGCTTTACGTATGGATTGAATGGAGATAGCTCGAGTTAGCGCCAAAGCCTTCCTGTACACCATCTCCTTTGTCGACTTTAGACACTCTAATGCCATTGCGCATGATCACGAGCAAAGCACTCTCGATAGTGCACTCTGGAAGTGTTCCATCGGCTGCCCGCCCACATCACATGCAGTGTCATTCACGCTGGTGTCTTGACGCATATGCATCGAACGTTGTCCTTCCGAAGCATCGCCGGACCAGAAACGTCCGGTTTCTCTGGGTCACGCAGCTGGTGAGTGATGCCAGAGTCATTCAATATTAAGGGATTGTGGTGATGCCTAGCGAGCACATTTCTGCTGACCGCTGGCTTCGACCATCGCTTGAAAGTTTCGCGAAAGGGCGACATTATCGGCTTCAGAGCGGGAGTGTAACGACGGTGCGAAGCGAAGCGCGAATGTTCTCCATCCCGAGACGCCGTCACGTGACCATGCAGGTGTGACCAATTCTGCGGCATCCGTGGCGAAATTGTTTCTTTGTGCAGACGGAGTAAAAGATATCCCCTTTCTAGTCTGCAGGGCTGTAGCTTGCCTTTGTATGGCATGGTGTGGGTGGAAGATAGTGACTGCGGGGGCAAGTTGGCCTACGCTTTGCTTAAGATGTCTCTCCCCAGAAGGGCAGAACAGGATTTACGGCGACATAATCGAACCTGTCAAGTCCTACGAGGCCGGTCAGCGTGTCCAAACAACCATTGTGGAGGAAACGTCGTATGGGCTTCGGCTCGCGCTCCATTGAAGCTTGCAACATTCTTTTCCCTTTGTGGCGCCTACCGCCGCTAGGAGCTTGTTTCTGAGCAAGATCCACGTGTCAGCTGATGGGAATGCCTCCCCGGTAGACTTCTGGTAGGCAGCGCGTCGTCAACGACTTTGAGTCAACGACGGCACAATTCGCTAAAGATATCAGACCAACAGATTGATGTGTGTTCGGCTCTAGCGACCCTTTCAGGTACGGAAATTTACAACGTTTATCACATTTGTGTTACGCAAGAGCCCCCTCGGTTTGTCCTCTGTAATTATGACTCCTACCTTCTCCGGCAAAGTTTAATCTACATAAGTTTTCATAAATCTCAGGATTTTCAGTAAACACTTTTGGCATGAGTGCAGCACGTCTTGAGAAATTAATGTTTTTTTTTTCATCTACGCCCTAGAAGCTAAGCATAAAGCTTTAGAAGCTAAGCATAAATATCGAAGCGTTTCTCTGAACATAACCGCGGTTTATATTTCGACCAACCGCGAGAAAGTGTGCGGGATTTTAAAAAGTACCCCGCATGCCTACAGGCCCTTATTTGTGTGGTGAACTGTGTTACGAACACGCGATCGAAGCCGCCCAATGCCATTGAAATGTCTCGAGTTAATCAAATACAAACATTCTCGTTCTCACGTTTGGCGATATCTTTCATGGCGACGTGCCGTTTTCGCGCGCACCACTGTGCTAGGTTAAAGCAATGAATGAGATTGCGCCATGTGTAATGATTGACGCATGTCCCACGATCTCTATAAAAGTTTAATGGCAATATAATTGCTGTGGTTTTACGTGCCAGAACCGCCATATTGTGAGGTGCACTATAGCGGGGTACTCCGCAGTGAATTCGGATCACGTGGGGAACTTTAACGTGAACCCATATTTAGTACACGGGCAACACGGATGTTCTTTGCATTTTGGTTCTATCGAAATACGGCCGGAAATCGAAATCTCGAGCTTAGCAATGCGACAGATAGCGTAAATGGCCAGAGCGGGGTGCCTACGTACTATCGGCGTCAAATGAAACACGAACAGTGGAGCGCGTGTTTCAACGTATTAGAAACACTATAGTGTTGGCCGTCCAGCCATCGCCATTGACAGGCGTGCACATCCGGTTTGGCAGCACTGCGCGATCCCCTACAGTGCGTTATCTCCGTTTCTGCTCTTGTTTTCGTATGATGTTAATGGGCGTGCCAAGCGCTTTTTATCGTATCACTCGCAATTCCTCGCCTTCACTTCAGCGTCACAGTGTAATCGGTGACTCGGCACGATAAAACAAAAATAGAAATATAATCGGTTTGCGGTTGATTTTGAAACGATCGTCGTATCTCGTTCGCCAGCGCTGCTTCAGCTGCACCCTTCTTTCAGAGACAGACCCGAAGACGCATCACTTTAACTGGAAATGCCGAGCGTTTTTGGAAGAGAAAGCGCGAATTGTTCCGCTTTACCAGCACGAAGTGAAACAGCGTGAAATTGCCAGCATTATGAACCGGCTTTTGTCTACTATAAATAGAATCGGTCAGGAATTCCATGATGATGGACTCCGTGATGACAAACCGTGCTACAATCCTCGCCTTCGGCTGCAGTAGTTTAACCTCTGTTTTTTTTTCTTCCTTTTAAATACCACACCTGGAACACAAGCAGATATTTTGCACTATAGGGGGATCGCGCAGTGCTGCCACACCGGAAGTGCGGGCCTGCCTGTGCCTATGACTGGTCTATGGCACGCACTATGCCAATAATAAGGCTTGTGCCATGCGCTCCGCTGTTCGCATTTCATTTGATGCCGATAGTACATCCACGAATTCCACCGGACATCCGTCACAAAAGTGTGGTGGCTCCGTCTTCGGAGTTTAATTTGGCGTGGTGTAGGCAAAACCTACCATGCCTCCGCAGTTGCTGCTGTGTTTTCACAGCTACCTGCGTTGTTCGTCACATTGCAAGAAAAAAAAAAAAAAGAAACGCACTGTGGAGTATACCGACGCGGTGTCCCGTTTATTTGCGCGGGAAAGCGCGAGAAATATAGGCAAGGTCTTTTTTTTTCAGTTTCGTGTTTTTTTTTTACAAAAACCATCGCAAAAACATTAACCACCCGAGAGCTTGAGGTCGGTTGTGTTTTGGAGTAACTTATCAATCAAAAATGATTAGCTCTGTAAAGAGTTTCTCATTGTAATGTGTCACACCGCATTTTATGGAATAAGCCATGTGTGGAGACATGGCGAACATGTTTTTTCAAAGTGCGTTAACATTCTGAATTGCATTGGCACATGCGAACATATGCGGGGTATTTTTCACGGTTGCCAATTTCGATATAACTGCAGAAGTCTTCGACACTTCTAAACGATTTCATTATACTCGCGTGAACTAATGGTGTCACTCGGTCATGAGCACGTGTTTCTTTCTGCGATAACGCGGTTAATTAAAGCAGCAGTGAACGGTAGTATCGAATTAGACTACGCTTTTCCTGTTTATATACGCGCCTACGATGACACACACACCTGTGACAAGTGTATCAGCCGGCGCTGTCCTGGCTGCGGTGCGCTTCAAGAGACTCTCACGTCTGGAAGAATTCGGAGAAAAAGTAGTCGGGAAACTTGCCGAGCCTGTTTACGGTGTGTACGCACTTCGCTGCCTTCATTTGAGCGTACGGATTGAGTCGCGGAACTGTACGTAACCGTATCGATCCCAGCATGCAGCTGCAGCCTTATCGCAAGCGTGTCGAGGATGAGTGTCGCCCTGGTCATTTGCATAAATAACTTTTTGGCACATTCCTTATATGCGAAGATTTACTGAAAGGAATCGTAGTCATCTATTTTTACACCACGCACTTGCATATCGTATTCTAGCGGCTTCTTGCAGAACTGGGTCTGTCACTATTGCGTTAACACATTCAAATGTACGCATACGCCGTAGACTGCCAGAACGGCGATGACAGTTCGCAGATGAGCCGCATTCCCATCATTAGATACCTCATCTTTTGACGAGGTTCCCAAAGCTACAGCTACACATAAACAAGGCGCAATTGTTCAATTCAGAACCCCTCTTACAGCCACTGCAACTGTACCTCTGTTGCGGCCACCGCCTTTTTCCCCCCACAGGTTTACGCCCACGGTGGCAGTGTTTAAGACAGAAAGCGGCAAGGTTAACAGCCCAAGCTGACGGCACCAAACGCGGCGCTCCGTAAAATGTAATCTATAGAGTGCAGTTTTCCCGGCGAAAAGCGGCTCAAAAGCTATTGACAGGGATATCAGCATGAAAATGCTTGTAGGAAACAACATAGTTTTGGTTCAAAGGCGATGCAATGTTTTACAAATGACACCTATTTCCCCAACAGTACTACGTAGGTGCTGTGAGCAACGAATTTGACATTGTTTTATAGATAGATAGATAGATAGATAGATAGATAGATAGATAGATAGATAGATAGATAGATAGATAGATAATGTCGCCAAGTACCCTTTGCAACGGGCGGACTCAATGAAGTATCCTAGCCATATTGTATAAAAAAAGAAGAAAAAAAAACACGAAGGAAAACATGACCTAAAAAACAACTGCAAACTTTACAGCGCCCTCTTGGTATATACGCCATTATTACTCAGTGCCGCTCTTGCATGCATAGAAATGCACGCTCGCTAAATTCGTCTGCGACGAACCACCCCTCTGGCGTGCTTTCGTGTTCCGCACTTGCTTGTGTTCTCTGAATTATTGTGGCGGAAATTCGGGTTCGGCTGTGCGCGATGTTGTGAATTGCGTGCCGTAACTGCATGGGGAAGGTTTCAAGTACAGTGTCCCACGGGCAGCGGGATGATGCGGATAACATTCAACGCCGAGTACTTGTTTCGGTACCAGCGGAAATGCTGGCAGGTCCGCTGGCCACTCGGGCAACGCGGCCGTTCTTTGAATTTAGTTACCGGATTTCGGAATTTATGTTCGTGTGTTGCGAAGAGGACAAGTTGATGGCGACTGCTTTCTCGGTAAGCGAAAGTGGATTATCTCAGGTAAAATTTAATTAATCTAAAGTTTCGTACTAAGGAACAGTCGTATACCCGTAGTGTGAAAGTGTCAATCCACAAAAGCGACATCAATTCACATCTGTAATGCGCACATAATGAGCGAACACTGAGCCTATAGAATATCAGCGTCCTAACTGAGTGAATCATGTCTGTTATGACGGCGCACGTATTTTTCTGACTGTACTTGGCCACGAAACAAGACAGGTGTGTAAAATCCGAAGACTTCTTTCGTGGAAGACGAAGTTCGAAGGACTAATAGGCCTGGAGATAAAGAGCGGAGCGTTTCGATGCATAGCAGAGCGACGTCCGTTTATTGCGGCGTAGTTGGTTCCACAACTTGACGCAAAGCACCTAGGGGGATAGTTTGTTTATTTGTTTGTTTGTTTGTTTGTTTTCCTGGGATGATGGCTCATACCCACTCAGGGAGATTCGCCAAGAAAGTGTAGTGCAGTTTTTCTGTGATCATTTTAACTATGTGTAA